ATGAACATTCCGTTGACTTACCTTGTGCGGAAGTCAGGTTGGGAAGACATGCCAAAACTAAGATTACTCCTGCGGCAGCTTCCAGGAGAGAAAGTCTTCTCCCCTTTAATTTACACGAGCCCATTGTTCTGGCAGCGTGTGCCAAGTGGGTCCAACTCCAAACTATCTCCTAAGAGATCCCCTTCAACGAAGATTGTCACTGTTGAAATTGTTGTTAAATAATTTCACCTCTAATTAATTTACTTTTGTAACTGCTTGAGATGTATTTATCAATCCATTAAAGATATTGATCCATGAATGGCAAAGATGTCATCGGAGACTTCTTGAAGAGAGACCTGCTCAGAGCAAACAGTTTCTCCAGCTAATGCCTCCAGCTTAATATGCGTACTTGCGCAAACCTGATCCTGTTTTTCTTCTTTTCACCATTTGTCTGCTTTTTCTCACGCCCAGGTAAAAAAAAAAAAAAAACAGATTTATGGGCGTTGTGAAACTTGGAAAGCGATCGAACTGCTTTCGCGAAACAAAAGCGCCCTTTGTTTTAAGAACAAAAGCTGCCCAGAACATCTGGTGCACTAGCTTGCCACCTCGGAATCTGTAAGTTTTACTCGAGGGAACGTGTCCTAAAACGAGTTCAAAGGGTTATACTGCGTATTAACCCAAGGACATACAAACCTTTTACAAGGAAGAAGCAAATATATATATATACAAACTTATCAAAATGATCCCTAATGACTCATACAAAAGTAGATTTCCACTCCTCTGAATAGATAAGTTTTAATGATTTCGTAACTCTTGGAAGTACTATCATACATTTCTTGCGCAGTAAATAGTGCGTGAGTGTGCGTGCGCGCGTGTTTGTGCATGTGTGTGTTTGCGTGTGTGTGTGTGTATATATTTCATACAGGTTTGTTTTTTTACTGACCGTAATTTATGATTCGTACATGTATTAAGTTAATGAAATGATATGTTATTTCCATGAAAAAGAATAGTGTTTGGAAGAATTATTCGTATTGTGTTCATATCTAATGAAATCAAAGTAAAAACAGTTATGAAAACAAAAAATAGTGCCTATTTATGTTTTCTCAATGATAGTATAAATGTACACTACTCATTGCCCATAAAGTTTGAATATATGTAACACTTTCTTATATCTTTTCATGAAACGATGAGACCATATGGCATTTCCTTCATAAATAAAGTTTACATCTTCTGAGATCTGTACTGCATTATGAACAATCGTAATGACTCTTTAGATTGATCTATAAATTTCTGAGAAGATATAAACTTTATTGTCACAATCATTTCATAAAAAGAGGTTTAAAAAATATTCAAGCATTTTGGGCAAGTGTGGATTTGGGAGGGTGTGTGTATAAGAACTATAGTGTGCCCCCCCCCCCCCCCTCCCCAAGGAAATTACCATACCAGTAGATACTTTAGGGTTTCTTCCTTTAACTGACTTTATATCATGACAGTTCATGGATGTTAAAGGGCAAGTCCACTCCAAAAATTACTTACTTTCAATAGAGGCAGAAAAATCAGACAAACCATTCATAAAACGTTTGACAAAAATCGGATTACCTATAAGAAAGTTGTGAATTTTTAATGAAATGAAAAACTTTGAAAATCTCAAGTGTATGACGTTATTGCCTCACTATCCACTAATTATTGTTTGTATATTGATAATATAATACCAGGCGCAGATCCAGGATTTCTTAGGGGGGAGGCCCAAATTTGAAATCAATTTGAAATTTAGTGTGCTGAAATTTGAAAATCGTGCCGGCCGATAGTGAGCGCTTGTTTTTGTTTACTAAACCCCCCCCCCCCCCAAGCATAAAAGAAAAGGTAATTTTCTGGTCACCATTTTTTTTAAAAACTTTTTTGGGTGGCCAGGGGGGAGCAAAGGCCCGCTCGCTCCCCCCCCCCCCCCCCCCCCCTGGATCCGTGCCTGCCTTATACAGCATCCCTGCTAGGCATTTGGTTTACCAACTTAAAATTCGAATGAGGGCAAGGGCTATATAAAAAAATCTTCATATATTTAGAGATTACGCCACACTTTTGGGCGTGAGACAAACAACAAGCCGTGCCCTCTGTTGTTCTGCTTCTCGGCCACCAACACAGGTGTAAATTAAATTGATTTTTCTTAGAGCTTGTGATCGATTTTGTTCAACTGTATTTATCCCATTGCATTTACCAAAGTGTACATGTTTGTGCAGTTTGACGGCACTCTAGCATGAACTTTTGGTGCTCATAAAAATTGTAGGGTAACCTCATGTAGAGGCAATTTTTTTCTCATTTTTTTTATTTTATCTTTTTTATTTATCATTTTTGTCTTCTTTTTCTGTCAGCTTACATGTATCTATATCTATATAGAGTATTTGATGCTCTCTTCTTTGTTGTGATTCTTATATAATTATAATATTATCCTGTTATTTCGTTAGTATATATGCCAATGAAATCATTTATGAAAGTGAGAAAAAAACAATGGCTGCCTTGCAGGACACAACTGTCTACTATTCCGATTCAGAAATGTTCACATGCATCAACTAAACACATTTTCATCCAGGCCAAGACTTTGACCGTCAATGTAAGTGAACAACTCAGGACAATACACAATAAGAAATGAACTACTGTAGTTCATTTCTTATTGTGTATTGATTGTGCTATAAATATTTCATTTATTTTCATTACATATGTGTATATTCAATCATTAGATTTTCACATTTTAAGGGAAAAGCTACACTTTCATCCACATGTAAACACTATTTTAAAAAAAACGTATTTCATGAGAAGAAAATTCTGAAATCATAAGATCTTAATATACAGTCTTGTAACTGTTGTATGAATCATATTACCAAACGACATGTTTTCAACAAACTGATATTGACAAAGACCTAATGCAGTGTTAGAGGTTTAATATCAGAGTAAATGATTTTCAGACCAGGAGTAAATTTGTACTACCTATTTTCAGAAATATTTTTTAATGGAAATGTGGGATGGATTGTGCGCAATGTACATGTATTAAAATGTAGCTTTTATTTTCATTATAACTGTAATTCTCTAAGAAAATAAATACAAGTAATGAACCGAGCTTGTCATATACTGTATCTTATACACAGTCAACAAGATCTATGGGTCTATCGGATGATACAGAAATACAATATTGCAGCATAATCTCAACAATTACAACCAAACCATTTCAAGCTTGCAACAAAAAAAAGTATCTAAGACATATTTGCATACAAGTTTTCAATAAAATGTAATAAGTTCATTTAAGTGTGAGCAGGTCCTACTATCTTGCCTTTTAACAGCCTATCCATCTTTTCTTGTCTAGTACTGTTTTGTGTTGTCTATCTGTCTGCCTCATGGTCTCTCTTCATTTCTCTCTCACTTCTTCTGTATCTCTCTCTCTCTCTCTCTCTCTCTCTCTCTTTCTGTGTGTGTGCGTGTGTCTATCTCTCTCTCTCTCTCTCTCTCTCTGTATGTCTCTCTGTTTGTATATTTGTCTCTCTCCCTCTCTGTATGTCTGTCTCTCTCGCTTTATATGTCTCTCTCTCTCTCTCTCTGCCTGTCTTTCTCTCTCTGTATATCTGTCTGTCCCTCTCTCTCTCTCTCTCTCTCTCTCTCTCTCTCTCTTTTATTGTATGTCTCTCACTCTCTGTTCCTCTCTCTGTCTATCCCTCTTTTTGTATTGTATCTCTTCTCCTTTTTGCCAATATTCTCACGGTAGTGGTGTTATCTCCAACATGAACAAGTTATGAATGCCCCTTGAGGGCAAGATGACTGGACGGAAAATTTACACAGAACATTACAACAAAAATAAACATAAAATCACCCCCAAAAAAGTTAATTGCACAATCTTTAACCCGGCAAAATATTTCAGCACATCATTCCAATGCAAAGGGAAAAGGGCTTAAAGGTGGGGTAAAATCCAAATATAGTTGATTCCTGTTGATGTGCAAGGCTGCATACAACTTGTATTTTGTTATTCAAACATCTAAATATATGTCATAGATTTTTAAATCTTTTTTAGAATAATTTTCAAAGACCTGCCAAGCTCCACCCTAAAAAAATGCTCTAGATTTCATTCATCTTGTGACATCATCTGTCAATCATTAGTGAGCTATAAGAGACAGTGGTATGTAGCTCACCAGAGCTGATCACCTTTTTGGAATAGACCATACAATACCAACATAGGAGTTGCTATGTCAGCCTTGCTGTAGCATCACAAGGAAAAGAAAGGTAATATGGAGGTATTGTATGAAAGAATGCAACTCTTTTGTGAGCATGTGCTGAGCTGGGGGAAGTTACATACCACTGTCTCTTGTTAGCTCACTAATGATTGACAGATGATGTCACAAGATGAATGAGATCTGGAGCACTTTTTTTAGGGTGGAGCTTAGCAGCTCTGATAAAATCATTTTAAACTATATTTAAAAATCAATATTTAGATGTTTGAATTACAAGCCTTGCACATCAACAGGAATCAACTAATATTTGGAAGTTTCCCAACCTGTAAATTGTTAATAAAGGTGCATGTATCACTAACAGACTCGCTACAATGCATGCAATGACCTCTGACATCTGTCCCAAGTGCTACACATATACCAACATTTTTAACTAATAAATGCCTCCCAGGATATAAGACTTGACAACCTTATACAGTGTTCTTTGCCACATCTAAAATTAGCATAACTCATAAGATGTGGTCGATTTGTTTTTGTACATCAACATATCATGCACCATCTGCAAGACTTAAAGCCTGTCTGCACTAGTTTGGTCAGGGGGATTAGACCTCCCTGCAAGGTCACTGACAGGTGGTTATCTCATCAAATCAGTTCTCAATTAACATAAAAAAAGAGGATCATGGGGGGGACCAACAGATACCGATTAGGCATTGTCTGCTATATAGAGGGCGCAAGTACATACAAATACTGGTAGTGCAGTGGGGCTTTAAGGTTATCTTGAGTTTTGATCAAAATGGAAAATGTAGTGTCCAAAACATTTCAAAAAATTCATAATTCTGTCTTACACACTATTTTCATGAGTTTTACTCTTAAAGCCCCACTGCACTAGCTACTTGCTTCCTCTATAGCCTAAGTAGTGTCCATTGGTTCTCCATGATTCTCTTTTTCTTATGTTAATTGAGATGAGCTGAGTTGATGAGATAGCCACCTGTCATTGACCACGGCGGCCGCTGTGAGGTCTAATCCCTCCTGGCAAAACTAGTACAACCGGCCTTTAAGTATAAATTAGTCAAAGGACAATTAAAGCAGACATTACAGATTCCGAAATGACAAAACATTTCAAAAAATTCAGAATTCTGTCTCACACACAATTTTCATGAGTTTTACAATTATGACTTTGTGCAGGTTTTTGCATCTTAGAAGCTCAGTCTACATTTTGACTGAAGCGGTCTCCAAGCCCCAGGGATTTTTCCAGTTTTGCCAGCTCTTCAATGCATGCCTCTCTTCTGGCCTTGATCTTGGCCAGCACATGCTCACGTTCTCGTATGTACTCCCGTAATCCAGTCTGTAAAATTGCAACAAACAAAACAAAAAGAGAAAGAGATAAAAAATAAAATCTTACAAAGCTTTATACAATATATATAATTATTATATGCTGAACCCCAAAAGGGTGGGCTGCAATGTTTTATGACTTTATTGCCAATCATCTGAAGTACATTTTTAATGCTACATTTATTAAATTTCAACTAAAGGATATCATGCAATGTAAAAAATCACCACATTGCGGACATCCACAATGAACATTTTCTCATTGGTATTGTACACAATGTAGAAATCTCTGTAAATGAATACACAAATAATGAAATAATTTTCATTTCAAATATTCTTTATAGATAACGGCGTGAAACTAAGTATAGTTATATAATAATTATGAGATGACCTATCTATGTGACAAGTTTTGTCACTCCACAGCAAAGATCCAAGAAAGGTAGAATCTGTCCCTTCCCAGCTGAGAAAGCAACAAAATAAAATGGCCTTTTAAGAGTTAGCCATATTTTGTAAAAATCCATTTTCAACCTACGCTAGCTTTTCATCATTTGATTACCTTGCAAGGTATTGCAATATGTGTGCATGGTATTAATTCAAATGTACTCATATTACATCACCTAGTACTAAATACAAATCAAACAATAATTTTTTGTTGTTATTAATGTAGTTGTTGCTGCTGTTGTAGTTAATGTTGTTGTTAGTGTATATATATATATATATATATAAGTGAAATGGGAGAAGTATGAAATATATAAACATGCACTATCCAGGGATATAACAATGTCCCTACTTTGTCCATTACTTTTAACTATAAAGTGTAACATAAAAGAAAATAAGCAATTAGAGTGTATCCCCACCGTAAGATACACAATCTCATGATATCTCTGTATGCATCCTATGATTTTAGACTTGTAACAGAACATTCACAAAAGTTGTATATCAACTTGTATTGATGCACTCTGTCAAAACGCATCTGATTTCTGATTCTGTGTGTTTTTATTCATGCCTATACAGCCAGAGGTCGGATGTGTTTCAATGTTATTTACATCAAACGCTGGATGAACATATCACTCATAAATTACAATACTTTTCGATATTTTGATAATTGTATTTACTATCTTGATCAATTGTAAATATTGTAAATTTCAATGTTTATCCAAACACGTCTTTTCTTCCTCTTTCTTTTATTTCAAGCTTAAAGTCGTTTTTCCTTTTAATTTCCCTGTCTTTTCCCATTTCCTTGTTGATTTGTTTGTGCACTGTTATCGCTTCTTTGTATATCACTGTGCACATTACTGTATTTAAACCAATGTATTGCCTTTTAATGTGATATTCAAACTTTTGTAAATTCAATGTGTTTTTCAGCCTTTGGCTTTAAAAGTAAACCAGTAAAAATCAAATCAAATCAAATCAAACAACTGGAATGGGACTGTCTAGCTCCCATTGGAATACATCAGAACAAACAGAAGAGAGCAGCGTTGTTTACTACTAAACCAAGGTCTTAGTCTACGATGACGTTTGTTGAATAGGCTGATAAGCATATATCTGCTCGCATCAATATTGTTGTAACTCTGAAACACCTGTTCACGTTACACCATGACAATGGCCTACATGTGGAGGTGTTGGAGCCCCATATGTTCCTAAAGCCCCTTTCACACCGCGCCATGCGTAGAGTTGCGTAGTGTTACATACCCACTATGCCGAGCGTACGCTGCCCTATGCTGGCCTACGTAATTATACGCTGAAGGACGCAAAGGGGTAGGCGAGATGGATTTGGCGTACTTTTGGCGTAGATACTAGACGCAGAAAGTACGCATTTTGTAGCAAGTCTATGCTACCCTACGCCAGTCCGACGAAGCAGTAAAAGCTTGCGCACACTAAAGCAACCATACACAACCATATAAGTAAACCTGTACGCCAGGCCTAAGTAAACATACGCAACCCTACGCTTGTTATACGCAATCGTACGCAAAGGTCCGACAATTGCATACACCATAGGGTACGCGGTGACTTTATATGCACAGGGTACTTAACAATACAGCATCGGCCGCCAGCCTACGCAAAACCTACGCAGGAACTACTCCGAAGCAAAGTTTTTTTTCATGAATATGCAGCCTAATTTAGGCGTAGTCGGTACGCCACACTACGCAACTCTACGCAGATCCGGTGTGAAAGGGGCTTAAGTCTGGAACAGAGAAGAGACAGGAGCTCAATTCAGGTACAGGGTGGTACACAAGGTGTTTTGAAGTGTAACAGCGACAGGTTTGAATTGTTATTGTATATATGTAGGTGTGAAAATCAGCTACAGGCTTGAATTTTGAATGTACGGGTTTGAAAAATCAGCTGCAGGTTAATATTCATTCTCGACCCAAATTATTAATGAAATACTATAGTCATTAACTGTGTTTTATTGTGTTTTGAACGCTTCGAAATATGGATAAGCCTTGCACCAGAATGCATCTAAGAACCCTAAAGTGTTGCCACAAGGGACTTGCATACCTGCCAACATTTGAAAATGAGAATTAATAATTTTTAGCACGGTATGTCTTTTTCGAAAATAAGAAATCTGTACCCTTAACAGGCGTTCGCACATGCAGCGGCGGTGTAACTGGCAATATGCGGTAAATCTGTGCAAAAAAGCGAATACAAATTCGCTGCTCAATCATGCAGCCCTTCAATGCACGCAATAGGTGAACTCTAACATCGCGGCATATGATAAAACAAGCTTAATTTGGCTTAAGCAACACCGACAAAAAAAAAATAAATAAATAAAAATAAAAATTTTGAAAATCCGGGATCTCCCGCATTTTGGGGTCCTAAAAATCCAGAAAAACGGGATATCCCGGATTATTCGGGAGGGTTGGCAGGTATGGACTTGGTGCTTCACTTTCATCAATTCATAATCCTTCCACTTTCCAATTTTGCATGTTTGAATTTTTTTGTTTGTGGACCATCAGCAATATGAGTTAATATTTAAGGCACACTACCAACTGATTCTCAAGTGATAGCATAGCGACAGATACTTGGCCATTCTGTATGTTGGAATTTGTTTCGTTCAGCTATTGTCTGTCTGATAATGATCCTGTCAGGGAAACTGGGTTAGAGAAGCCTAAAATCTGGCATCCCTGAAATCCTCAATACCCCCAAGAACCCTATGAGAAATCCTTTAACCCACTGCCTATGGGATCCAGGAGGCCTGTGTATAAAGTCTATGGTAATAAGAGAATTCAGTAGTTATCCTTTCCTTAGATAATTTCCTCCACTGACCCAAAACTCCCTACAGAAGAGAAGGATACACTGGGATTCCTTTGGAGGCACTAAGCCACGAAAAAAGAACCTATAGTAAGGTTTACTTTATTGTTGTACTGAGTCAATTGATAAGCTCTACTTTCCCATGAAAATATTTGTGATTACTGGAACTCGTAGCCAATAGAATACTCACCAAATCTGGCGGTTCCTCCTCTTTTGGCTTGGGTCTCCTCAGGCTGAAAGATAAACAGACAAAATTTTGAATCAAATCGATTTTATACACTAAGAACTAATCACCTAAATAAATAATTTGTTTGTTTGTTTGCTTGTTTTAACTGACTGCTAAGAAAGCGTGGGTATGTTTGTAAGTAAGCAACCAGGGGACTGACAGCTCTAAGTCCTCTCCAAGCGACTTGGTATTGAGGACTAAAAGGGCACTAGCACATTGACTTATTATTGTAGTGGGTATATAGCAATTGTTTCCTTAAAGATCAAGCGGAGGTCTTATCATGGGATAACATTGAGGAGAAACGGTATAGAATTTTTTTTTGAAGGAAAGGTTAAATTGTAATATGAAGTGATGTATACTGTGAGGTTTGGAATCATTGAAATGAAAAGGAAATTGACTTAATAGTTGTTGAAAGTCGATGCACTGCACAAAGAAATGCATGTACGGGACTACACACAGATGTGGCATGACAGTTTGGTCCAAACAGTTTGGCTATATCTCGACATATCTCAACAAATTTTAAATATGAGGGCATTTGAAGCGGATATATTTTTTTTGGGGGGGGGTGCATTTCTCCTATGATTTTCTTGAAAACTAACTTTAAATGATTTTAAAAGGGCTCACAAGTTATTTTTCATCTTCACCTGAACTCAACCTTCTTGTTTAATACTACAAATTAGACTCACAGATGGCACTGAATAATTGTGTCTGATACTGCTTTCTTGAGCATGCTTATTTCGTACTGATACTGTACAACTGGATTGGCGCTTCCTTTACGTCCAACACCTGAAACCAGAACAAAGATGAGAGATCATTTTAAAATAGAGGCTTTTCTTTTTCTTCAGTATCTCTTTTACTTATGAATAATTTTTTTTTAAAAGGCATATATATATACATGCAAAGTCCAGGGCCCATCTCATAGAGAGTTGATATTAATTGCAAGTTATTTGAGATTTATACATGTACCAATCGCAGCTATGTACATAAGAGATAGGAGACTGCAAACTTGCAATTGATTGGAGGACTTGTGATTGATTTGGATTAATCGCAACTCTTTATAAGACAGGGCCCAGGTTACATATTGTTAAGACCTTTGTATGTACAGGACTAAATAAAATATACAATGAAAGACCTATTACATAAAATATCTTGGCGAATATATACACAATTATTTTTAACCAAATCTTTTTTTAAAGACATTTCAACAACATCTTCTATCTTGTAGCAATACAAGATCAAGAAAAAAAGGCAAAAATCGGTCAAAATGAGAGATTTGTTTATATTTTGGGTAAATTAACAGAAAATAGTGCACCCCATTAAGATTCACAGATCAAGATAACATGACTTCTTAAAGTAATTCATGATCACTCCAAAGTATGTCTCTGTCATTTTGCATGACAATTATCTTGTGAATATTGTCTACATGTTCCTTTTCTAGAATAGAATGGTCTTTAACTCATGTCACTGTTGATTTAGGATGCCACGGGTGACGCTGTAGAACAATGCATATTTAACAAGATTATTCAAACTTTAGTTTATTCCCAACTGTCGATATCTAATCATTGCTTATTAAATTACTAACTTGTATGAAAGGTACCCATTGATAAAACAGATTTGAAAGTTTTCTGACACTTTCCCACATCCACATCCCTTGTCATTTGATCAAAAGTATGAGAACTTTATGATTTTGCAG